GCCGTTGGTGGGGGCAGCGATCCATCCGCCGGAGCTTGTTGATGCCACTGACGCCACTGCGTGGCCACTCGTGGCGGCCACCCTTGAGGCCAACGCCCCAAAGCCCGGGGGTATGACAGCGGGGCGATGCGCTATGCGCCCGCTGGGGGTGGCCTCAACGGAGGACGGTGCGTCCGGACCTCCCCGGGGGGATCCAAAGAGGGAGGCCTAATAATGGATAGTAGGCCGAGAGGTTCGGAGCCTCGCTCTTAGTCTCGGCCTGTCTTCATAATTTTGCTGTTAGTTATTAGTCGGCGTCAAGTAGTATTGACGTCCGGATATTAGGCCGAGAGGTTCGGAGCCTCGCTCTTAGTCTCGGCCTCAGTCCTGCCTGTCTTCATTTGCTGTTAGTTAGTAGTCGGCGTTAAGTAGTATTGAAGTCCGGATAGTAGGCCGAGAGGTTCGGAGCCTCGCTCCTAGTCTCGGCCTCAATCCGGTGGTCCTGCCTGTCACTGTCTTCATTAGTCGGCGTTAAGTAGTATTGAAGTCTAGTCCGGATAGTAGGCCGAGAGGTTCGGAGCCTCGCTCTTAGTCTCGGCCTCAATCCTGCTTGTCTTCAATTTAAATTTATTGCTGTTAGTTAGTAGTCGGCGTTAAGTATGTCAGAATCAGAGCCAGTCGAAGCAGATTTAAATGCCTTACCTAAGGAGTCGACCCCTGCCCCATCAGGGTTGCTCCCCACACCGTTGGCCAGGTGTGAGGCGTTCGGTTTGCCTGTGTCAGAGCCTTGAGGCCAACCTATCCCAGGGGCAGGGGTTAGATGACAGCCGGGCACATGGGCTAATGCGCCGGCTGGGGCCTGACCTGGTGACATCGAAGCATTTTGCAAGTCACCGGAAGCAAATTAATACCGGACAAAGAAGGGAGGCCGTTCTTGGGACATGGCTGTGTTGTTAGGCCGGTTGAGTTTAGTTTTTTTAGTTATTCCTTGTATGTCAACTTCATTGCATTTCGCTTGCCATTGCTTGTGCTTGCTTTTGAACAGAGTAAAACCCAAAGCCTGCAACCTTCAAGCCGAGCAGTGCTGCAAATCTTCCATTGTTTTGTTCTCTGTCGTTGTGATGCATTGCTGCAGCAATTGCTCAAGCTGTATTTTGCAAAGCCATGATTCTGAATTGCCGTGATGTTGCTGCTGGCCTGGAGACCTCCCTGAAGCTTCATTATCCACACGAAGATATTTTGATTTTAGGTTTTGAGTTGTTCAACCTCGATGTGGTCTTGGGCTGCTTTCTGGAGTCGAACGCCGATTCTGATTGGCTGAGAGCTATGGCCAGTACATGTGTCCTCACAAAGTACTTCATCATGGGCTTGAAAGCTGACCAACGTCCGGAAGGTGGCCCTTTTCCTCGAACTCCTCTGGACCGGCTTGCTCCTCCAGTGCTGCGGGGGGCCAACCTTCTCCGAGAGGCCGCCGGAAGGCCTTTGGGTTCGCTCTTATTTCAAGCCCAGGAGTTCCTCGAGCATCACGCGGATGTCTTCCTCCACCAGAGCGCCTGGTTCAAACTCGCCTTTGAGATTCATGAAACTTTGAAGGATCTCGAATGGGTCCCTTCACCAAGCGAGGAGAGCTAGATTTTTAATGTGAAAGCAGGCGGATCCACGTCGTCCAGTAAGTTATGGAGACTAGGCCGAGAGGATCGGAGCCTCGCTCTTGTCTCGGCCGAAATCCTTCTTCTGGAAAGTAGGCTGAGAAGTTCGGAGCCTCGCTCTTGTCTCAGCCGAAATCCTTCTTCTGGAAACTAGGCTGAGAAGTTCGGAGCCTCGCTCTTGTCTCAGCCGAAATCCAAGTAAGTTAGACAAGACACTCGATGCAACCACGATCCCATTGCTCACGAGCTTTCAAAAGGTGCGGCATGCAGAAAGCAGTATTAGTAGAGCATTAGTAGTAGTATTAGTATTAGTATTAGTATTAGTATTAGTATTAGTATTAGTATTAGTATTAGTATTAGTATTAGTAGTAGTATTAGTAGTAGTATTAGTATTAGTATTAGTATTAGTATTAGTATTAGTATTAGTATTAGTATTAGTATTAGTAATAGTATTATTATTACTATTAGTATTAAGTATTAGTATTAGTATTAGTATTAGTATTAGTATTAGTACTAGTATTAGTATTAGTATTAGTATTAGTATTAGTATTAGTTTTAGTATTAGTATTAGTATTAGTATTAGTATTAGTATTAGTATTAGTATTCGTATTAGTATTAATATTAGTATTAGTAATAGTATTAGTATTAGTATTAATATTAGTATTAATATTAGTATTAGTATTAGTATGAGTAGTAGTATTAGTATTAGTATTAGTATTAATATTAGTATTAATATGGATATTGGTATTGGTATTGGTATTGGCATTCGTATTAAAGTGATAGTATCAGTATCAGTATGAGTATTAGCATTAGCATTAGCATTAGTATTAGTATTAGTATTAGTATTAGTATTAGTATTTAGTATTAGTATTAGTATTAGTATTGGTATTGGTATTAGTATTAGTATTAGTATTAGTATTAGTATTAGTATTAGTATTAGTATTAGTATGAGTATGAGTATGAGTATGAGTATGAGTATGAGTATGAGTATTAGTATTAGTATCTGTATTAGTATTATTCGTATTAGTAATAATGATTCATAGCAGTTGCAGGCCATTAGCTAGTAGTCATCATTTCGTTGACGACGTCAAGGTAGCAAGCATAGTAGTTAGTAGGCGGATGGGTTAATATATAATAAATAATTAAATGCACTACGACACATGAGCCTGCGGCCAGGCTGACTTTTCCCTTGACGTCGCTGAGAGGCAACGATAAAGTCGTCTGCCGATGCAGCTTATGAGACGCGGGAAACATTTGAGAATTCTCATGCCATTATTATGCTGGTCGAGCCTAAATAAAAGCGCGTGATGTGCTGCTGCAGCTCGAGCTGTCAGTGAGTGTGCGTTGCGGTGCTGTATTATTGCATGTAATGTCTGAGCAGGACCATCATTGATGATAGTAATATGACAGTAAATCTCGGTTTCATTTTGCAATGCTTCACGATTGCGGCCGGGCTCATCATTGGTCTCTGCGTGAGTGTAGACTGACAGTCAGTCTGTCATCGAGTGCCCAGCAAGCATGCCTGGCACGAAGAGAACGGCTCTGGGTCGACCTTCCTTGGGGGGGAGCTCGAATGCAAGCAAAAGTGGGAAGAACCCCAAGCGAGCGAAGTCGGACGCCAGTCTGGGAAGTGAGATGATCGTGAGCGACATTTCACCAAATGTGGAACGCTTGAGAACATGGTTGTTCCCTGGTTCAGGCAATTACAACATTCGACGCTGAATCCGTGTCTCCTTCTCATTGACAATGTATTTCTGACAGTGTTTTCAACGTGAGGTCTGACAAGCTGAGCTCCCATCGCTCTGTCGACCGCCTCCTGCAGGCTGAGTTGGCAAACCAGGTGGGGTCACGGAGCAGCCTGCTGCGTGTGGGAGCCAACTACTATTCGGACGCCGACAACACATGTCACTCGCAGGAGACTGTTTTGGAATTCCTGCGGTTCGTCGAGGAGAAGTTTCCACCTGAGGAGGGTGTGAATCTTGGCCCCAGGACTTTCTGTGTTCGAGTGCAGCAACCTGAATTGAATTGAAAATTGTTGTGCCATGATCTGGACAGCAGAGAAATGCTTTACAATCCCAAGTCTGCTGCCAAGGACATACTGCCAGACCGTGGATCGTGCAGGTCCCACATGTCTGAGGCCCTGGCAGCTGCCCTGGTCTCCGAATGCAGGCTTCAAGGGGTACGTGGAGCCCGTGCCCGGGACGTTTTGGAGCATGTTTACGTACTCTAAGGTAGCAGTCGGGTATTGCAGGGGGCCTGGCAAAGCCTTACAATCATGCATTTGGCTGGGGACTCCCTCTATCAGCTCCTGGAACTCGTGTACATCAACGGGCCAGCATCGATGCATTTAATTTGGGATTTGCTTTATGGATTGGATGTGCAGCCGGCGAGTGTTGAGACTGACTAGAAGCCAAGGTTCCAAACAGACCCAAGCCAGGGAGGAGTGGAGGCGTTGACCATCGCGCCACAACGACAAGACAGTGGTCTGAAGAATCAGTTCGTAATCGCGTCGGATGAGATTTCAAGCTCGGCTGCGGGCCTCCTGGACCCTCAGAAAATCATTTGTGCAAAGGGATGGACGCGATCCGTGTGTGGCATTCTCATGCTCCTGCTTTGCTTCCAAGACAGCGAGTTCTACAAGGACGGGGGGGAAATTAGTAAAAGAGGGCCAGGGGGGGGTTAAAAATGGTAAAAGGAGGGCTCTGCGCGGTAACACATGAAACGTTGCGGTCATTTTCTTTTGTAGGACGGATGCATTGCCTTCATTTAATTTGTTAAGTCATGTCTTGTCCTGCACGGAGAGGAGATGCCAGAGTTTGTCCGGAGGAGCAAGTTCATTGCCGTTCATGTTCAGGGCTAGATAATAATAAGTGAATGCATGCAGAGACGATGCAGGACGTTTGCCACTGTGCACTGCGTGGTGATGCCGGGGAACTTGGACCCGGGCAGCCTCATCCTGAAGAACCGCAGTGCCACGGCAGTTAACGAAATGTGACGGCAGACTTAGCACAATTTGATTTCAGCATTGGGATCTGAATCATGCACATCCATGACAGGTGTGACCATGGCTTCGGCGATAAGGAGGAAACCAAACTGCTTCAATTTGGTGCACCAGATCGTGCTGGTCAAGAAAATGAAGTGCGAGGACGTTGGGTCGTTGGAGGACTGGTTTCATGCGTTTGCTGACTTACAGACTGACTGCCATACCATTGGCCGTCTGAATCTGAGTCTTATTGTACCTTGTAACGCTTGGAGGCGTGGGAGCATGCGGCCAAAGAAGCGGAGGCGTACAGAATTGGAAGTCTTGAAAGCAAAGCCGCCCTGCAGCTGTTGACCGCCGTGGATGGCCCAGTCTTCGAGAAGCTGAGCGACATGGTGAGGACAGCCCATACTTGTGGAAACTAGGCCGAGAGGATCGGAGCCTCGCTCTTGTCTCGGCCGAAATCCAACGGCTTAGGACCTTAAAGTTCTCACGGAAACTAGGCCGAGAGGTTCGGAGCCTCGCTCTTGTCTCGGCCGAAATCCAACGGCTTAGGACCTTAAAGTTCTCACGGAAACTAGGCCGAGAGGTTCGGAGCCTCGCTCTTGTCTCGGCCAAACTGAATTCCAACTGCCAACGGTGGCCTTCGGAGCCTCGTCTCGGCCGAAATCCAAGGGCCTTGGACCTGTAAGTCCATGTTCTTCGAGGACCTACGGGATGAACAAGATACTCAATCATGAGCCCATCGCTGACGGCCTTTTCAACAGAGATTACTGCGCGGCCAGCGGGCAGTTGAAGCCATGGGCTGATATCTTGAGCAATACACCGCAGTCCCTGGAGCTCACGCTGCACCGCATGGAGGAAGACTACAAGAACCTGCACGTGAAGATGCGCAAACCCTTTGCCTCAAAGGACGTGGAACCTCAGCGGCTACATAGTACAAAAAGCTCATCCTAGCCTGTTCTGGAAGTTTCAGTGTCGCGATACATTAGGCTTGTCGTCTGGCCTTGAAAATATCGCAGCTTGCGTCGCTGAGGAAGCCTGCTTGAAACGTTGCGCCCTGTTCCTGGCTGCTCTGGTACGTGCTCACGAGTACTTTCCGAAGGGCTTGATGGATCGCGAAACAGGAAATCTCACGAAATCGTTTCAGTTGCTGCAAGAAGACTGCTAGGTCTGCTTTGCTACGGGTTTGGCAAAGCTCAGTGGGTGCGTTTTTTTCTGGTCCTGGTTCACCCTGAGGTTCATGCTCCGACATTTGGATGCAGACCTGGAGAATTTGCTAGAGCAGTCGGTGCCGCCGGTGGACCTCAGCATGCTGGCCTGCTTCCGCGGCATGATGTTGAAGCTGAAGAAGGAGGCTTGCAAAGAGCGGCACGGTTCCCGTGGGAAATAAGTAGTCTGATAATTTGCATATTATATTATTATTTGTCTGCTGTTCAGTGTTATTGTAAGTTGTTGCAGCTTTGTCCGTCTCACTGAAGATCAGCTGGCAATATTTAATTGCAGGCAATTTGAGATGTGTATCACTATTACCTCAATTCATTTATCATGTCAAACACGACGTTGCAACTACTTTGTGCTGCTGAGCCTGGGAATTTGTTGTAACGTGTTGAGAGGCCGAGGAAGAGCAACTTCTGGAGTCAGAAAAGCCGGGAGCCCACTGATTTATAGGACACCGTGCGACAATGACTAATGACAAAGCATTGGATGATTTGCCGAGGCTGGCGGCGCAGATGGCCGCTGCAACAGCTCAGCAAGCTGAAGCCAAGGTGGAGGATGATCTTGTGAAGCTGACCAGTTACTTTGAGGAGAAGAAAGCCTTGGCCAACAGACAGGCAAGCCGTGGTTCAGCAAGTCAAGGTCCCCAGAATGCAAACTGAGGACCTCTAATAAAAGCCATTCAAGCCCTCCAGCCGCAGGGCGGGCTCGATGTACGGTTTCTGGCTCAGCGGTACCAGAGAGGCACGAAGGAGGTCGAGAAGATCATGGAGGAGAAGCATGAGTACAGGTCTTTCCCAAGCGGCCTGCTGGAAGCCCATGCGCATCTTTTGCAACTCATCACGCGCTTGACAAGTACGCCACAGCACGAGGACACCGACCCGTTCCTGGGATGCTTAAGGTGCATGACATTCTGAGGCCCTGCTTGCGGCCTCTTTAAGGCTGACTGTCTGAGGCTCGTCATCTTTATTATCGACGTGACAGCGTGGCCGTTCCAGCGCACCTTGCTTTAACTTTGCACCTTGCTAATCCGTGAACCAGTTCTAAATTTTTGGTGCTGCCTAGTGGTGACATTAAATTTTCGGAGGCCCAATTGTGGTGGATGAAGCCGTGGACTTGGCAAAGAACATCAGCAATGGCAACGCCAATGCCGTGTTGTTCAGCCTGCTTCCCATGCAGCACAGCTCCGGGACCCAGCAGACCGTTACGAAGTGCAAACGGCAGATCGAGGACAAGGTGATGCAGCTACTTGGGTCATTATTTAAATGTGCCGCATCCCAAGGTCTTAGGGCATCGTATGGTCATGGATTGTGGTCGGACATTGAGTACTTATTATTAAATTAATTCATCACCTACAACTACTACTGAAGCTGCTTTGCTCGAGCAGTGGGTGGTGGCTAGGTCGGCACTGCTGGGCTGAGCATTGGGAGCGTGGCCACGCCCTTCGGGTCATGGCATGGCGCTCTGAGGCGTCCTCTGCGGGGCTGGTCGGGCAGGGCTTTCATTGACGATCCAGCACCGAGGGGGGGTCAAGGGCGACGGGCATGAGGAGGCAGCTGGGCATCATGGGAGTGCAATTTGCATTGAAATCAGCCCAAGCTCGGACGGTGCAGCTGATCATTCCATCTGAGAATGGCACCTCTTGCGCTCGTAAATCACTTTCGGCCTGGGTCTTAGAAGCTCAAGACTTAGACTGTGGTCAGATTCAGTTCTTGATGGCCACACACAGAGCGTGTAGCAAGCCAGGCAGGCCGTGTTGCCAACAGGGTCTGCTTGGCTTGCGACGCACTTGTTATCTGGATCTATTGGAGGTTGAGCAAAACAGGTACAAGGACCTTCAGGTGCAATACGATGCATTGCAGGCCCTCTGCAGTTCTTCTTGCCCAACGAGCTGCCTTTTCTGCAGACCCCCGGAGTTCCAGAAGTCGCAGCACGGCTTTGTCTTGGCATTGGGCGTGTTTCCAGGCCACCACAGAAGGACAGGGCATGGCCATGTCACGCCAGAAATTGAAACTCACGTCGCTGGTCGATGTTGTTGTCTGCAGCCCACATGGTGCAGCTCGGAAGAGAGAGAGATCGAGGCACAATGTCCCTCGATCTCCTTTTTCTTCTGGGCTACGCAATGTGCAAGCGGCAGGCCACTCCAATGGATTCTCACACTGAGTGTCACTGGGACTGGCAGCAACAGTGGAACATCGCTGCCGATGGACGTTGTTACTGCAACTGTACCAGTCCGCTACTCGCGAAGCCGGACTGGTTAGGAGAAACGTCATCATAATATGATGATGCTGCTCCTCACCAGTCTGGCTTCAACGCGACTGTTGCCGAGTGCATCTACACATCAAGAGCGACAGCGAGGACAAGCTTTGCCTTGCTGTCGCTCTTGATTTGTAGACACCACAGACAGATGGCAGCTGCTGTTAGTTAGTCGGCGTTAAGTATTGAAGTCCGGATAGTAGGCCGAGAGGTTCGGAGCCTCGCTCTTAGTCTTGGCCTCAATCCGAGGATTTTGCGCATGTCACAGCCTGCCGCCTCACTGTTTGCTAGCCAGGAAAAAACCACAGATCAGATATGGAAAGTAGGCTGAGGGGATCGGAGACTAGGACTGCGAGTGAGTATTGCGGCCACCGCGACCACTGACTATCAGCGGTATTACTGGTTACTACTACTACTACTACTACTACTACTACTACTACTACTACTACTACTACTACTACTACTACTACTACTACTACTACTACTACTACTACTACTACTACTACTGCTTCTACTGCTTCTACTGCTTCTACTGCTACTACCACTACTATAATTACTCTGATTCTGCGAATGTTGTACACTGTACAGCAACCATCCCGTCATTTGTTATGTTTCTGTAACAAGTGTCAAGCTAAGCGCCCATTGTCATCTGTGCCAAGGACAATGGATGTCTATGAAGGGAGCTTGGGTTTCAGAGACTCAGGGCACGGGAATGACCGTCGCAGACGATCCCAGACCTGCCATTGCCCGAGACAGCTTGAAATTTGCTCCTTGCGTGCGGGTCTTATGTTTTTGAACTTTGTGCACTGCGTGCCAAGGCATCCTCAGTGTGAGCACCATTCACCGGAGCTTCGCATTCCAGAGAAGCAAAGCCATGCTCGGAGCTCTCGGCCCGGTTTCCCGGGCACGTGTTTGTGACCTCTGGGGGGACGAGGACAACAGGACTACGCCACTCCAAAGAGTGCCTGGCACTGGAGAGAAAACTATGTATGACAGTCAGCGTCGCCAAGCCATTTAAAGTTTTCACCAAGCATGATCGTGTAAGTTTAAGGTCCAACAAAGAGGAGTTCGGGGAACGAGGGAGACTTTGATGGGACTGCTGGAGAACATGTCCGTGCCGTCAGGGAAGCCAGTCATTGTGGCCGACTTGGTTCCCAACCAGATTCTGGACCTAAAATCATTCAGTGAGTGAGCTTTCATCTACTATAATATTACTATTATGATTCATGTTACTTATTGGGTTATGATTGTGATGGGGTGGTTGGTGTGGTGGTGTTTCTGTTCTGAGTCTTTTTCTGGACTAAGTGTGACTCACTGAAGAATTATTCAATGGGTCAGTCAGTCAATTTGAATTTTGACACATTGTGGATGCATTTGCTCCAGGTTCAATGAATGGGGACGTGCAATTGCCGAAATGCAGATTGAGAAGTTCGACAATCCGACAAGTTGCTACAACTGGCACTTCGTCAGCTACCCTCATCCAGATGACTTGGATGCAACAGCTTTGCAGCAGCACATTGCTGGTGTCTTCATGAATGTGTGGTCCTCGGTCTTACTCTTCCGTGAATGAGTTTGACCGACAGATGATGACTCAATCCCTGACCTCGTCGCAGGACTGGTGGGATACTTCAAGTCAAGCTGGCCCTAAAGTTCGTCCACAGTCTGACACCGAACGCCTTGTCGTGCCAAGCTTGGAAGTCTTGTCGCTGGACACAGACTTCAAGGTGACGACACTTGCCTCATGATAATTGATTGAGTCGTCTGTCCTTGGTTTGAGAATAATAGAGCTCGTCGCTTCCTCATGGCAGTGAAGGTTGCCGGAATCGGTGAAGTCAGCACTGGGCACCAGCAAATCCGAGTCTTTGCAGAAGAAGGTGAATGCCCTGAATCTGCAGTCGACTCCTCTGGGAAGCAGTACTCGCGCAGCCGTCTCTGGAGCAGGGGCAGGGCAAGCTGAAGGGAGGACGGGCAACAGGAATGTTGCCAGAACGCTTTGCCGCCCAGAGTTCAGCCCCGGAGCTACCCCCCCGGATCTTCTCCGAACCCTGGTATTGGACATGATGTCAGTTGGCGAGCTCGAGGAAAAGTTACAGCGCCTACACAAACAAGAAGCTACGTTTGATTTTTCGGTTAGAGCACAGTGGCGGGAAGTCTGCAGCCTTCGACACTGCATTGAGGTCCTTCGTCCAGGCTCCCGCATCATCTTGCGACAAGATTGATGTCTTTATCGAGACTGGCACCGAGCCAGGAATTTACCTTGGCAACACGAGCGAAAGCGAGACTGTGACGATGGAAGCCGGGGAGTTGTGCGGTTTCAACCTTGGAAGCTTCGTGGAGAGAGCGCAAGGCGCGGCATGGAGTCTCCCAGTGAGTGAGTTTCACTGTCTTTGTGTGACCGTGACAGGCCCGCTTGAACATATTCCTGCCATGCAACAGACTATAATAGTTAGTAAAGTTTCATGTTTAATGAATAAATCGGAGGC